AAGTTAAAGTAATTTGGTCACTGAACCACTTCAAATACAGACATAAAAGAATGTTACAATATAAAAATGGCACTATTCTCCTGAAAGGTAAATGACACCAGTACACGTGTAAATATGGATCTGACTTCCCAGATAATAACAGATCAGATTATATCACAACGCTAAATGCAAACTGCTAGCTTTTTGAAAGCTGTTTATTTTTACTTTAAAGCCTTATAAATTTAAAAAAAGTGTAGCAGAAACCTTAATAAAATGATAATTTTCCTGAAAACTTATTAGAGAAATATAAGAATATGGATTAATAAAACCAGAGTTATTGAGAATATCATGGTTCTTAAATCACTCTAGAAACTTCGTAGAAAGAGTATCTGTAAAGATAACAATGTTCTTTTCTAGGTTAGATCACCAAATTGCGAAGATTCTCTAATACCTATATTAGCATTATTTCATCATCTTCCTCAAATAATAAAATATACAAGTTATATACTTCTAAATGTATTATAATACTAAAATAGCACATGCTCCCCCCAAAATAAAACATTCAAAATCACATGAACATAAAGGGAAAAATAGGTTACTATATAATGCCAAAATGTTTAATTTAAATCAAGGATAAGCTTATATGTAAATAAAATTGTCTGATACTTGACCACAGGAAAATAGTTAGAAAGATTGTCACCATATTTTAAATACATGTACAGGAGAGCCTGAATCAACATCCAGCTACATGGTTGCAGGTCAAAGTCACCCTGAGGTGCTCAGGTGAACACCACTACCAGAAAGGAGAGCTGGTAAAATAAAATAAACTAGCATAAAAGCTGTGTCTAGTCAGTTTCTGCATTAATAAGCAAAGCAAATCATGAGTCGCTTATGAATCATTGTCAATAAAAAAGAAAAGCCCAAACACTGAGTGAGGTAGAACACAGAAATGTTAAAATCAGAAAAGAAAATGTGGATTATTAGCTGTGTGGCCTTGGAAAATATTTGCCTTTATGAGCCTCAGTTTTCATATTTAAAATATGAAAAATATGAAGAGCTGGTCAGAAGATTAAATGAACTCACATGTACAACCTTATACAAAATAGTAAGTAGCAATTGTTATTTTTGATGCTCAAATAATATTCTCTCTATGTATATAACTATAATATAAACATGCATGTTTATACATACGTGTAGGTAGATAATTTACAGATCATTCAGGGAAGAACAACAAATTTTAAATTTACTGAAAAATCAGAGTCAATTAAAGATTCAGTATGTCCAAATTGTCTAGCTCACTGAGAACACGGTAGATATAAGCATAAACAGATGGACATTAACTCATTAAGACGAGTATACAAATTCTTTCAAAAAACTGAATAGGAGGAAACATTCCCAAACTCATTTTAAGAGGGTAGCATTACCCTGATGTCGGAGTCAAATAAGGACTCTAAAAATTACAGACCAATACCCTGATGAACACAGACACAAAAATGCTCAACAAAATATTAGCAAACAGGATTCAACAGCACATCAAAAGGATCATACATCATGATCAAGAAGGATTTATCCCTGGGATGCAAGGATGGTTCAACATATGCAAATCAATAAGTGTGATACAACACATTAATAGAATGAAAAATAAAAATCGCATGATCGTCTCTATAGATGGATAAAAAGCATTCAACATTCTTTCCTGATAAAAACTCTCAACAAAATGAATATAAAAGAAATATACCTCAACATAATAAGGGCCATACATGCCAAAATATAGAGAAAAACTAAGTGTCCATCTACAGATGAATGAATAAAGGTGTGTGAAATAGACACACACAGAGAGACACACAAACAAACAGAGGAGTATTATTCAGCATGTGAAGGAAATCCTGCCATTTGTAACAACATGCATGGAACCTGAAGGCATTATTCTAAGCAAAATAAGTCAGATGACAAATACTGTATGAAATCACTTATATGTGATATCTAAAAAAAGTGTACTTGCAGAAACAGAGAGTATTACGTTGGTTACCAAGCGTTAGGGGATGGTAAAAAGAAGAGATGTTGGTTTAATAAACTTCCAGTTAGAACATGAGTAAGTTCTGGGTATCAAACGTACTGAATTATGATTATAGTTAGCAATAACATATTATATACTTGAAAGCTGTTAAGGGAGTAAATCTTCCATGTTCTCCTCACCACTAAAAAGTAATGCTAATTATGTCATGTGATGGAGATATTAGCTAATGTTACAGTGGTAACCATTTCCCAATGTATAAGTTTATCAAATTAACACATTGGGCATCGTAAACTTACACAATGTTAGATGTTAATTATGTCTCAATACACCTTGAAATCTCAATATGCCTTTTTTAAGGCTTGCATACCTACCAGGCCTGCTTAAGATGTATCGATAGATCACAAAATAGGAATTATAAGCAAACTGGCATTATATAGTCTTTAAATGAGAAGAGTGTAAGATTGTTTAGAGAAAAGTAAACAATGATGACGCTAATTAGAGTTAGCACACAGAACAGTGTTTTTAATGGAATGTGCTGTTTGTGTTCTGTTCTTTTAGGCAGTAGAACACAGTCATAGAGTAAGGCCTCTGGAGTACGAAAGACCTGAGTCTGAATCCTGGCTTTATTCCGGAACCTTGAGAGAATTACTTAATATCTCTATGCCTTAGTTTCCTCACTATACAATGCAGATGATAAATAATGGTATCTACCTTGTTGAGTAAATTAGATGAGATAATGAAGGGTTAAATGTGATAATGTACATCAATGTCTAACTCAATAAATGTTAACTATTATTACTTAAGGAATGTCATTCTATAGTTTCAGACAAAATATCAAAGACTTGGTGAACATAAAGATATAGACATATACTAAAGATAATATAATATACCACACCACTCATTCAAACCAATCTAGATTTTATTCAAATATTAATATAAATTATTATAATTTTTATTAATAAATATGAATAAATTGTTATAATTTTGCTCATCTTAAACTGCATTTCCTTACTAAATAAAATTTGGTCATTGGGTGAAACATTAGTAATGTTGATCAATTTGGAGCTGGGTTGGCATTACAGCACTAGCAGCAATTACTCATTTAGTTTTCTTTCCCTTAATGTGTCTAGCTCAGAACCATAAACATGGTAGCTGCTAAATGACTTACGTTTGGTAGGTGTCCATGGAGCTGAACTGAATCTATTTCAGGTAGCCCACCCAAACAGTACTGTTTAAAATTTCTTTTACAAATGACAAGCACTTAGTTATACACTTTCAGGAAAGTTCCAATAGCATCGTGGTTGATAACATGGGTCTTGCAGACATGAAGACCTCCATATGAATCCTGCCTCTATACAACATGATCCAGGGCAAGTTAATCTAAGCTTCTTGCCTTGTTTATAAAATTAGGATAATAAGGACTGTAATGTACTTAGTACAGTGACTGACATATGGAACTCATTCATGTAACAAGTGATTTATACCAAAGTTCAGATAAAGGAGCTTGAGAAAGATCAGTGCATCTGGACTTATGGAAAATGTTTCAAATTTTGGTATTAAAGCCGACACACGTAGTTTTCTCTCACAAATGGGCAAACACCTCAATATCAGCCTTAAAAACTCCATAGCAACTTACACATATTTTCAACCATACGGATTTTTTCTTCTGTTATAAACTATATTTAGCGCAGATAAAACTTTCACATTGAAAACACTTTATAAGTAAGCAAAAATTCTTTCAGAGAATATAAACATTTTAGAAAATAAGTACACTGAAGTAATGCATTTAAAATTTGTGTTGACAATTAAAATGAAAATCTATTCCCTTTGAGCAAAATTGCACTGTTCCTAAATTAACCTACTTTGTGTTCTGCCATAGCCTAAAATTGGCTGATGCAGCTCTCTGACGTGATACAATTTCTGGAGGGAAATAAAAAATTTCAAGAGAAAACATTAAATTATTTGAAAATTCATATATCAAAGTAATTTGGTGTTCTTGCATTTTACTAAGGAAGGTAAGTAAAAATATAGTGAGCTACATAAATTTGTTATAAAGTGATTATCAAGACAAAGATAGTAATTCACCAAGTGATAATTTTCAAATACTTAAAAAATATAGTTTATGAACTATTTAGAACTATACCTGAATTTTATGTAAAAGCATGTCTAATCACAATTTTCAAAATAATTATTTTTTTTTACCTTGATTTTTCTCCACTGGTGGGAAATTTAAATGATGACAGGAAATAGTTTATTGCATCACAATAGTTTCTTTCCTTTACCTTTATTTTTTAAATAAAATTAGCAATTTTCAAATCATCTTTTATTTGTATATATTCTTATAGATTTTTAAGTCAACTATAGTTAAAATGTATGCCTCCATAACCAATTATAATATATAATTTTATAATTACTATTTCATAATAGCTTTTTACTGGAATTGGCTGACTGAAGTAATTTTATACATCCAATTTTACTTAACGCAAATTTCAACAAATTTTCAACATTTCTTTTTACCTAATAATACTTCAGCTTTGGAAGATACAAGGGGTTAAATTTGCCATCATATATATATGTGTGTGTGTGTGGGTATGTGTATACCCACACACACACACACACACACACATTTATATATGCATGTGTTCATATGTATATATACATATATATGCATGTGTTTATATGCATATGTACATATACACATGCACACAGTTTCACCAAAAAATTTATGCAATATAAAAACTGAAACTCTTATTGGCAATATTTTTGACTTACATTTCCATTACCTTTAATAATTTAAATAACAGGAAAGAAAACACTTCTATCACTATACTTACAGAAAAAAGAATGCATATGAGAAATGTATACTATAATATTTCATAACATTTATTTTCTTATTTATCTTCAAGTTTGCAATTAGGTTTAACCAAATAGAAAAATGTTAGAAAAGTGAAAATATCAAAAGGCTTAAAAGTTATGCCAAACAGAAATTTTAAAAAACACTAACCCAAAGCATGCACTGCTCCTCTATGCCTGCTGGAGCTCTTGCTTGTTTTAATCACACGGGCAGCACTTTCTCTGAACTGCAGCTCACAAAAATATGCAAGAAATTTTGCCATTTCTTCTGTAACAGTATCCAGGTAAGTTTCTTTAATGAATTTCACTGTTGAGGATGGAGCTAAAATTTCATGCAGTGTGTTAAAATCCTCTTTTATCATTGAGTATAACTTAAGCATTGTACTTTGGTATCCATGAACCATTACATCTAAATTTGATTCTCTGCTGTAAGAAGGAAAGCAGCTCTGCAGAAGTTTAGCCAACAGTTTATTCTGTATGTTTTGATACTTGATTATAACTTCTGATTCTGGATAAAGAAACAAGAGTTGTTGTATGCACTGAGTTTTCAACAAAATTTTTTGCTGCGAATTGTTTACTTCATTATGGCTTTGTAATCTGCTCACTAAGAAGCGTCGAAGATGTAGTCTTATATCATCCCATATAGACTTGACATCGATAGAGGAATGATCTTCAACAGAATGAAGAGAAGCCGTAGAGAGGAAGTGGAAAGATGTTCCACTTAGAGTTGATGGAAACAAAATGCTGCTCTGGCAGGAGAGGTCCCAAAGTAAATCCAGTATAATTTCTTCTTGATTCTGTTCATTCTTCAACAAAGCTTGCTAATGAAAGTAAATTATAATGTTAGAAATGTGATTAACCAAAGGAATAACAGAAAAAAAAATGATTTCTATAATAATATAAAATTTCATAATAATTCATTTCAAATTAAAATTAATACTCTGATGCTCTTCAAGATTTTCTTTTTTGCATTTGACATTTAATCAATTCAGACATTTTAGAGTGTCAGCTTTATGATTTGTTTAATTTTGCAGAGCTCATGTGATGAACTATATTTTCAATTAGATTTCTACACATATAGATCTTAGCCTTCATTGTTATCCATCACTGATATAACCAAGGCAGTATAAAAACTGAAGCTTAAAAATTCTAAATAAAAACCTACAGTAAAACATCAACTGAATTGTATTCCTAAGGCAAGATAAATTCAAGATCATACCCTAATTAGTTCCTGGTAGATCATTTTCATGCCTGAATGAGTATACTTATTATTATAGAACCCCAAATGAACATAGGAAATAGAGACCTTTAAATATAGTATGTGCCTAGGGGTTACTAATAGCTGCCATCCGGAGAAATACAATTTAATACATTAAAAGACTTTAACTTTCATTTAAATTCCTTTTTGAGAGCCATGTCCAGAAAGATTTTACTTTGGAAATTAATCTGAGAATACTTCAGTTCTCTCCAAAGAAATAACTAACTCAAAATAGGGAAACAGTACTGTCAGAATCATTCCCCAGAAGAGGATATGGAAGTATTCCTTGTACTTTCCATGCTGACAGAAAACAACTGTAGGTGTGCTTATGAATAGTAAAGGGACAAAAATTACTTTCTTTTTGGACTTGGAATTTTACATGTACACATTCCTCTTACATGCTGATTTTCCTAATTATGTCTATTTAATTTAATACTGAAATTAGCATATTCTCTAGGTGGGAACAAGCTGATTATAAGAAAAATGGAAGTGAGGTTCAAGTGGCATAAAATCAGGCTGGCTTTGAAATTCTTTATGGACAAAGATACCACAGGTATTATGCGTGATTCAGAATTAGAAACAACTCCTAGACAAATTCCAGGAATTTGCTGTCAGTCATTCTAAGCACTGCGATTTCTAATTTAATATTCTATCTATAATAAATAATACCCAATATTATCTATAAAGTATGTTATATAAAAAATACTTTTCCATACAGTCTCTGGCTTATTCATTATGAAAACTCTGTAGCATAGATATTTAAAACCCCAATCTACAGATAAGGACACTGAAATGCATGTTTAAGTAACTTTCTGAACATCACATACAATAAAGTGAAGAACCCAGCATGGGTCCCCAGTTTCATTCTCTTT